CTACTCATAGTATTTTTCCTTTGAGGTAGAAGCTCTGAATTTTGTTGGCTGTGATGTTGCTGGGACTTTGTCTTTTGGGGATGGATTCTTTATGTTACCTTCTGGTTCTAAGACATCTGGGTAACTTTGATTTATGATTTCTTGAAATAGAGTTTTTCTGCTTTGGGGGGGAATCATGGTTTTCTGAGAGTCCAGTGATTCTTAAATCACCTTTTCTTGACCTGTTTTTTGGGTCAGTTGTTTTTGATATGTGATAGTTTACATTTTGTGTTTTTTTCCCCAGGCTTTTTATTTTGCTATAATATTTCTTGTCTAATGGAATCACTCTTTCTGTTTGGTCTCTTTGAGTTTTCAGGGAGTCCATTTTTGGGGTAAGGCTTACTACTTTCCCTTATGAGCTTCTTATCCTTCCATTTATTTCCTCTAGAGCTTTTATTTCATATTTTTCATTTCTTGCTTCATTTCATGTAGGTATTCATGAATCCTCATGGAAAATCATTTTTTTTTTCCTTTAAGTCTCTGCAGTTGTTATGCAATTACTCTTTCGTTTGAGGTTGAACTTTTGGGGATGTCTACAGCGGTTTTTCACACTGGTCAGTTCTTTACTCATTTCTTCAGCTTTCGTTCAGGGCCAGGCTTCACTCCCTGCCAGCCTTTGGGTGTGTGTGATGGGGTCGTGGGCACCACCTTCTTCACGAGGCCTTTCCAGGCCCATTTTCCCACCAACCCGGCCCCTTGTGTCCTCCTACCTTGTATCTGTTTTGGATGTGTCTGTATGTACATTCCGTTAGGATATTAGTCCTTTGAGGCTTGAGATGGTCTTGTTTTTGTTTTTATTTCCCAAGAAGGAAGCACAGTGGCTGGCCTGATGGATTAGTAACGTTGTTTAGAATTCTTTGTTAGTTCTTTATGACGGGCAGACAAACGTTGATTAAGTGCTCACTGTGTGCCCGGCCCAGTGCTAAGCTCTGTGGATACAAGTAAAACAGAAAGATAATCCTTGCCCTTGAGGATCTTAGATTTTAATGGGGGAAGACCTCAGAAGGGTCTGCAAAGGAGGGTAGTGGGGAAGGGAGAAGGTCCCTGTGCTGGAACGTGGCGGTGAAATCTTGAGTCAGAAGCACAGCCAGGAGGGCAATGAAACTTGGTTGGCCTGGGCCTGTCTCCAAAATGGACACCCAGGGAGGATCTCACCGATCATCAAAGGGGGCCAGTATGGGGGAGGGCTGTGTCAGGGTAGGAAGACTCCAGGTGCTAAGGGAAGTTCCAGGATGAGAAGGTGTCTGAGTTATGGAAGAGGCTGCATGTTTTTCCCCCTGCATATCTGGGACATTAGATGCAGTTCTTGAAATTACTATTTTTAATTTACATAAGGTCAGATTTCTTCAACAATTTTCAGTTTTGTGTGGACAGTGTAGTAAAGTGCTGGGCCTGTTGGACTGAGTTGGCTTCAAGTCAGTGATCTGAATTAAAATTCTGTCTGTGACACTAACTCTGTGACTCTGGGCAGATCTCTTAACCTTTATGTGCTCCAGGCAACTCCCTGGGTCTCTGTAGTGGTCTCTGTTGATGGAAGGAATTCTCACGCCAGGAGTTACCTGTGCTAACCAAATCACAGCACCTTCAAGTGCATTTTTTCCCGGCATACTGCTGTGCTCCTTGATTGTTTAGTCTTAAAGTCTTAAGAAAATTTAACCCAAGAAAAACTACAAAAATGAGATTGCATTTTGCTTTTCTGACATTTCTAAACTAAGCCTTTTTAATCTCCATCTTCTTTCAGTTTTGTTTCAGGTGTTGTACAGTGGCAAAGCCATGTTTTCCCAACGTTTGTCTTTGTTAATGAGACTTTGTTGGCAATAGCAGTTATAGTTCTTTCTGAATAACGATGTCGTGTTGTTTCCCTTTAGCAGAAAGTATTTATTAGGCACCAGACCCTGACTTTGCAAAGATAAAAATCAAACGGTCCCTCTTGGTTATCTTGCCAGGGGAAACAGTCCATATATGTGGAAGTAAACTAACTAGTCAACAAATCTTTGTCAAAGCTCCCATCTTGTGTGAGGCCTTGTGTTAAGAGTGGAGCCTACCAGGACAAAATTAAATATTCTCTACTCCCCAGAGAGCTTTCAGGCTAACAACACACAGACAGAATCTCTCGAGTGACTGAGTGGGTGCCAGCAATTTGAAAGAACTAGAAGTTGTCCCCATCAGTTCCAGGTTTTACTGAAAAGCAGGATACGTGGTTTGATTGGAAGTATGTCATTGCCAATAACACTTATCTTTAGACTGTCAGGGTGATGTTACTCATTTCTCTCTGGAGGTTTTTCTGTGGCCTTTGGCTAAAGCAGGTAGGCCCAGCCCGGCAAGAACTGTGTAGGCCTGCCTACTTGCTTTACCCTGAGCCTTGGAGGTTTCTCATCCTGGGTGTCTGAGATGGCTTACTGGACTTATAGATGAAATGTGACCATAAAACAAAGGTTTCCTGGATGTGGAGCTATTATCAAAATGTGACTTGAGCCCAATTTAATTGGCCTCTTGAATGAGTGAATAAAAAACTATTTATTAAACACATGCTCTGTACCAGGGAATTGTACTGGGGATACTGATACAAAAACTCCACAGGCCATCCTTAAAGAGCGCTCGCACACACACAGACACACACACACACACACACACACACACACACACTCATGGTAGTGGCAGCTGGGGAGAGGTTTTAGCTTGATCACATCTCTGGTAAGTAGGGTGAATGCTGACAATTTCTTTTCAGGAATGGTTGTGTAAATTTGATTTCTCCTCCCAGAGCAAAAGGTGGAAAGGAGATGGAATGAACTGGGGTTGGTTTGGAGCCAGCTAGTCAGGGTGAACTCCTCAGAATTAGGAGAGCACGATCCTAGGGCAGGTGAACGGATGGACTGGGCCGGAGAAGTGTGGCATTGTGGTGTAACAGCAGCTGACAGCATAGATTAGTGTTAGATTACTCTGTTACTTCTTTAGTATCCTTCTGGAGATGAGCATGTTATCTATGTGGTCATATGGGAGAACATTTTTCAGTTCTGTTGAGTAGATGACTCCTTTATTCTTAAATCACTTGAATTCATGTGTTTATATAATACCTCATCAGCATCTGTGAAAAACACAAAATGTTTCTGGGAGGAGATAAGTGAGATGACTTGTCACGTCCTAGGTATGTGCACATTAAGAAACAGTAAGACTGAGGTACAAGAAGATAAAATTGGCGTTAACCTCATCTGGTCCAAGGAAAAGACCAATTTCAAAAGTAAAGAACAGTGAAAGGAGTGGATTTTGCCCACAGGGCACACTAATGCACAGTTGGTAAATCTCTGAATTGGTTCAACTACTCTGGAAAGGAGTTTGGAATTATGCCCCTAAAGTCACTAAACTGTGCATAATCTTTGCTTAAGTCCATAGAAATCAAAAGAAAGAGGAAAAGAAGTCTATGTACAAAAACATTCATAGCAGTGCTTTTTGTTGTAGCAGAGAACTGGAAACAATCATTTGGGGAATAGTTGAATAAATTATACTATATGGATGTGATAGAATATTTATTACATTGTAAGAAATGATGAATGAAGTGGTTTCAAAGAAACCTGGGAGAGTTGTATGAATTAATGTAGAGTGAAGTGAGCAGAACCAGGAAAATGTTTTATTTAACAACATTGTCAAGAAAAACATCTCTGAAAGACTTAAGAACTCTGATCAAAGTGATGACCAGCCATGATTCCAGAGGTACTAAACCGATGGTGCCCAAGGAAATACACATTTTCATACATAGCTAACGTGGACGTTTATTTTGCTCAACTATTTGTTTGTTACAAGGATTTTGTTTTTCTATTTTCAGTTTGGGAGGGGAAGAAGAAGACTAGTAATAGGGTTTTCTTAAAGAAAGAAAAAAGGGTCATTGAGGCATTTACAGAACTTCAGAGAAGACTGAAGGAAAAGCAGACAAGCAACAAACTGGTGCATAAGATAAATTGACGGTGTCATGCACAGTCCCTGTTTTCTGTTCTACTTTGCCTATAGAAATGCACATTTTATTTGGCATTTGTTAAGTTCAGAATAACAAAAAAATAAAATTGATTAAAAAAAAACCAAACCCAACAACTGTGCCTACAGAATTCTGAGAAAAGAGTCCTGCCTTTTGCTAAGATTGCTGTGTCACCTCAGTCTGCATTTATGACTCAAAAGCCTAGGGCAAGTGGACCTAAGTCATATGGTTAACCTTCAGCTACCCAGGTGTTCATAAAAGTTTTTAATCAAATCAAAACCATAAGTTTCTCTTCCAGCTCAATTCAGTGTTCCCAGGACACAACCCTAGCTATTTCAGACGTGAATAACCTAGTAGTTACAGACTGATCATGATTCTTTTTCTTTTTATATTTTTTCCTTTAAATGAAATCAAGATTTAAGAATAGTTTAAGAAATAGACAAATCATGCAGGAAATCCATGCCAACTGAAGGCATGGGTCAAGGGGAGGAGGGCTAAAACTTCACCATCCTGTCTGACTTCATGAATTGACGATAGTAGGATCCAGCCATACTCATCATAGCTTTTGCCGTCAAGTAGAGGCTGTGACCATTGGATCCACGCCTCCATCTTCGGGACCAGCTCTGGACTCTTTCACTTCACACCATCATGGACTTCACTTTCCCCAACTGCCATTGTGCTGCTCCCTTGCCAAATCCACCTTGAATCTCAAACTCAGTGTCCTGTCCTGCCTCAACAGCATAGGAAGGTAGAGGACTCATTCTGGCTAGGAACGACAATTCCCAGCAGTCTGCTGCCAGAACTTTCCCCTCATGGAGGGAAAGTTGGTCTTGAATACCCAGTTACATTGACCAAAAAAAAAAAAAAATTCCCTTTCTCTTTGGTATAGAGTTTTCTTGGAATGACAGTTTTAGTTTTTTGGAAATAACAGTTTCTTTATTGGAGCTCAGTTGCTTCTTTTAGCTGATTTTTTTTTCTCCTGTTTTCATTGTAGTACCTGATTATCAGCTTACAACTGGAAGAACTATCATGGAGGTGGTGTCAGCTGAAGTGAACAGCTTACTTCCAGAGGAGATCATGGACACTGGTATAACTTTAGTGGAAGATGATAGTATCGAGGCTGTTATTGTTTCATCCCCAATGGGAGATTCAATTCCCATGGAAACGGACCTGCAAGAAATTGTCAACATAAATTCATCCAGTGAATCTGCAACCACGGCCATGTCTATTACCACAGAACCAGTCACAGTGTCTAGTAACCACGCTAACAAAGTTGTTGGGAATACCATAGTTACAAAAACAGATTTGAATACTGTAAAAACAGCCTTTCCAAGTGGCCTTCAAAAACTTGGTGCCCAGACACCTGTGACTATATCAGCCAATCAGATTATTTTAAACAGAGGATCTCAGACATCCGATCTTAAACTTGGCAGTCAAACAATTAAACCAGATGGACAGAAGTTAATTGTAACAACTTTGGGCAAGTCTGGCCCACCAATTGTTTTAGCCCTACCCAATAACCAACTGCCTCAGACTCAGAAAGCCACATCTCAGACACAGTCAGGAGACTCTAAAGTGCAATCTCAGCAAATCAAAGTAGTTACTATTGGAGGAAGGCCAGAGATGAAACCTGTCATTGGTGTGTCAGCGCTGACACCGGGAAGTCAGCTGATTAATACTGCAGCTCAGCCTTCTGTGTTACAGACTCAACAATTAAAAACAGTGCAGGTAAAAAAAAAGAAAGGCTTGTCTATTAAAAATGCATGTATATGAAACATTGATCAGTTGTAGGTATGTATCAGGGTCATTTATATCGAGATTCTTAACATAATAATATTTTATTACATATAATAATATAAAATAATATCTTTTGAATGTTGCTTTTAGTGTATACGTGAAAATAACGAAACCTGTTGTATAGGCAGATTTTCAGCATATAAATAAGCTAGCCAAAGAGCTGTTTTGGTTGAATTTAATTTTGAACATTTAAATATGTATTTTGTGTGTGTGTGTGTGTGTGTGTGTTGTTAGTGAAAGTTTTTTATGCACGAGAAGAAACATTAACCAGTTAGCAAAGATAGCTTTGCAGGAATGGAGCAAAATTTTGTATTCAATCAAATAGCCTTCAGTAGTAGAGATCAGCAGATCTCTGTCCGAGAACCTTAGCTTTGGAGATCTGCTGTCACTGCACCTTTCTTCCTATGTCACCAATGGGATGCTGAGGTGGAAGGTAACCTATGTAAGGTTACTTATTTAAACTCTTAAGACTTCTTTTTCTCAGTAAAGACTTTCCTTATCCACTCTGTCTTTGGAAAGTCCCTCTTACCGTTGCTTTGGGGTCCTACTTTTTGTTATTCCCCATTCACACTCAGCTTTCCCCTGTGATCCCCAAAGCCATGACCACTAGTGGCCCTCTTGGATTCAGTCTTCCAAGTGGGGACAGGAAACAGAAGCTGGATATGAGGCTTAGAAAGCTGGATATGAGGAAGCTTAGAAAGGTTGCATGGCTGAGTTGATAGATAATAGGGGTTCTTTGGGGTAGTATTTTGTAACCAGAACCTTGTTCTCTAGACGATCTTCTTGTCCTTTTTCATAAAAACACTGCTATGAAATGTCCCCATTTACTCTATATCTGATAACATCTATAAGGAAACTTCCAAACCTGGAGGTAAGCCAAAACATTTAGATCTACGGAAAATACCAATCACAGCAGTAGTGATCAAAGCTCCTATTTACATCGTGCTTTAAGATTTACAAAGTGTTTTACCTAAATTATCTCATTTGATCCTCGCAGAAACCATGTGAGAGTGGTTAGCACCAACTATAATAATAGTTTATGCCCATTTTACAGATGGGGAAACTGAGGCTGAGACAGGTTCAGTGACTTCACAGCTATTAAGTGTCTGAGGCAAGATTTGAACTCAGGTCTTTGTGACCCTGTATCATTTAGTTCCCCCATATATCACAAAGCTCGTACATTTTATTTTGTCCCTTTTCTTTTTCAGGTATACAGAATATTTACCTTTTCGTACAATTCCTGATTATCTGGTTTCCCCTAGCAACCTAAGGCTGTTTTCTAGGACAGAAAGAGCTGAAGGCCAATAGCTTTTGCTTAGTGGGCTAGGGAGAATGGAAGGTATGATCAAAGCCTTGGGAAGAATTGATCATGCAGTGTGATCTTCAAGGGGTATGGTCACACCAAGACTCAGCTGCAGGCCCTGTGCTGCACAGAGCAGAAAATGTAGACTGACCAGAACTGTCCGGAGCAACTTAGGTCAGTGGTCCTGCAGGTAGTACCGCAGGACCTGTGAGATAATTGTGGCAGAACAATCACTGTGATTATCTTTTAAAAAATGAAATATGGACAGTAACTCTGGCAGTGTGGGACAGCGAGTAGGGAGCAGCCTGTACGTCTGTAGAGCACCATAAAGTTTACATAGTGCTTTACATGAACTTAGCCCATTTGGTTTGCACCACAACCCCAAGTTGTAGCTGCCGCAGACATTATTGCATTTTGTGGATGAGGAAACGGTTGTCCTCTATCCCCGCCTTTGTCCCAGTCTCTGAGGAAAAAGTCTCCTTTCTCTGTAAGAGCAGACCCTCTCTCTTTGTGCCCTTGATCTCCTCCCTTCCAGACATCCTGGAGCCTAAGGAGACCTGAGTTCAAGTTCTTCCTCTGACACGGATTAATGATACGATCTTGGGCAAGTTGCTTAGTGGCTTAGCAGCCCAGACACTGCAGCGGCGGAGGGAGTTCACTCATTTGGAGTTACTTACAGTAATGAAGCATTGGTCTGGACCAGATTTTAAAAATTATTTATGAAATAAAGAAATTTGTAGTAGACTTTTTTTTCAACCATTCAACAAATATTTGAGCAATTTCAAAAAAAAAATTATTGAAATGGTTTTGGTAATTCAGTGGGTTTTCTTCAGTTATCTGTCACATTTTACTTATCCAGAATATCATGTTTACTGAAGGTACTAGATCAGTAAGGCTTCTCTTCTCAAGATGCTGAAAGAGCACATTAAATGCTCTTTTATTTATTATTAATATTAACAGATGTCTCCGTAGTGCTTTGTGGTTTTCACGATCTCACGTAAACCTCTCCTGACTTCTTTCCCACCCTTTCCTTTCTTGTAAGTGCCTCTTTTCCGCCTCGAAAGTTAGTTTTATGAGCTCTGTTGGACCCAGAGCTGGGAAGACTCAGAATCTCGGATTTGACTACTTCTTCCCCAGGCTTCCTAGTTGGTGTTTCTTTTGTTTCATTTTTCTAATTAAATAAGCTTATTTTAAATTATCCTTTGTACTTTGGTGGTGCTCAATTCCAAATGTAATTATGTTCCAATTAGAGGAACCTTTTTCCCCCCTTTTGTATGAGAGCCCTTGAGTTCCATTATAAAACTGTAGATCTTTGCCTTAGCAGCCTTAAACATGGGGAAAGATAAGACTTTACATTTGTTCATGAACTTTTTAAATTTGGGGACGTCTTATTTGTTTAAACTAAGTTTTATTGATGCTTTTTTTTTAAACATCACAGTAATTTTTGGAAATACCTTACGCTTCCCGTTGAATACTTCCTTGTTATCAAGGCAAAACAGAAACACCCAATACAGTGGCTCTGTCTGACAGTGTATTCAGCTGTCTGCCCTAGTAGCTATTACACCTCTCTGATGAGAGGATGGAGGTATAACAGCTTAATTAAAAAAAAAAAAAATTTCCTGATTTGAAAGTATTTGTGTTAGCAGACACTATAAGTAGGTTAGAATTATAGAAAGTATCACGAAGAACTAAGTTATTTATATAAAAAGGACAAATTATTTATCATTAACTTTTTAAGAACTTAAGTATTTGATGCCTTTTTTACCTTTTTCATCCCTGAAATCTATTAATATTCAGCAAGCCACTAAAATTCTTACCAATTTTGAAATTTTACACATTTAATAGCAAATGAGGGCTACTTTTCACTTTTCACTATGGGAATGAATTCCCATTCCCTTGAGGATGTGCTAATTTGTTTAAATCCAATTATAGATCCTTAAATTGTTCATTGTATCAGGCCTGTTGTTAGACTTTATGCTGCATTTCCTATTTTCTATAATTCCCCCCCACCCATAGGATTTTTCATTCCTAATGCAAAGTAAATATGTGTCATTGAAATAGTCCAGTTGGGAATTTGAGCCCCCAAAGCAGGGAATACATTGCTCTATGTTGTGTCCAGTATATTGCTCATATTCATGTTGGTAATATTTGTTATAATATACTTCGAGGCAGTACAGTGTCAAACAGAGAATACTGGACTTGGAGGCAGAAGATAGTTCTGTACCTTACCTCCATTACCAACTGTCTGTGTGACCTTGGCCAAGTCACTTAACTTTATTAACTTTGTTTCCTCATCCATAAAAGTGGGGCTATAATGGGATTATTGGGAGGATGAATGAGGTGATATATCTAAAGTATTATTTAACCATATAGGGGTGTGTGTGTGTGTATAAAACCAATCATTATTACAAAGTCTTGATTCTTGATTTTAAGAAAGCATTTGTGCAACTTGAAAATATTTTGTCTGTAAGTTATTAGGGAGCTGGATGTGAATTTGAAACAAGCAATCTTTAACCTGGTCATTTCCTTCAGAATGGACTCTTAGGAATTGCTGTTGATAAAAATTTATTTTTTTCAGTTAGCTATACTTATCTATTACAGGAAGAGGGTTTTTTTTAAAAATTAAAATAATTCCTTAATATATATTTGTATTCTACTTCTGGAGGTCTGAGTAGTATTTAAAAGTGACCTCACTATTGACTGAAAATAGTATTTTCAGGGAGTAATAGTGCTAGATTATTTCTCTAAAGTGACTCCTGGTTCTATTTCACTCTTTCCTTTTAGCATTTCACTTCTTTTGGGGGGAAAAGAAAGCCAAATGGTGTTTTACTTTTTATTAAATATGTTGTTGTTTTGCTTGTGATTGATCATAAATTTATATTCCAGAAATTTTAAATGCCATTATTGCAAATAATGTATAATGTGCAGTGCAAAGAGCTATGCAGTTTTTTTAAGTTGTGGAATTTTTAAGGGTGTGAATATTTTAGCAACTGAAATTAAATTAAATTCTTATTTTTTGCTGAGTAAATGGTGGTTGTTGTTTGCCAGCTCTGTCTTAATTCTGAGTAATTGAGTACTTTATAGCGATTGACCCAGTTATTTATACCTTTCAGATCGCTAAGAAGACAAGAACACCAACTTCAGGTCCAGTGATCACCAAGTTAATCTTCGCAAAACCAATTAATAGTAAAGCAGTTACGGGACAGACAACTCAAGTGTCCCCAGTCATTGCAGGTTGTATATTTTTCTTGCTTCTTAAGCTACATTTTTATCTTCACCTTATATAGATGTACAGGAATCTGAGCTGCGTTTGTACGCATCTTTCTGTGTGAACATTCAGTGGGGAAGGGAAAGGCAGCTGACATAAGCTTCAGTTAGCTCTCAAGGAGTCATAATTGTTCAGTGTATGTAAATCACAGAAGAGCGTAGCTTAGCTGTGCAAAACTAGCCTGTTACCTTGTCTTCTAAAGTGGAATTTGATTCCTCAAATGAAAACAGATGAAACATTACAAATAACCACCTCAGAAGTTCAGATGCATCTAAAAAGAAAAAAATCACAGACCTACGCTTGGAGGTGTGGGAGCATCATGCTTACTTAATAACATGATGCTTATGCAATAATATAATAAGTGTTACGCGTTTGGACTTTAGAGCATAGTATTTCAATGAAAAGTTAAGGGACTTGTTTTCTTTTTTTTCTCTTAATCTCATTGGCACCCTTCTTTAGAGTTTGCATCTCTAAAACTGCACATAAACCCTCTGGTTGGCTTGTCACGTAGCAAGTGTAGGAAAGGTTTACTATTTTTGGAAGGATGTTTTATTTTCGTACAATTCAAATTGTGCTCCACTGAAGTCCCCGTGTGTTTTTAGACTAGAAATTGTTCATTTTGCATGTTGCTCAACAGTAAAGGGCCATCAACTTGAGAAACTCTTCATTGTAAATAATGATGTAAAGAGGTGGTGTTTTTTTCCTTTTGATAACAGGATTAGTTTTAGCTGTGCAGCTACTACATTTGTATTTGGCAGTGAAACAACTACTCTTGAAAACGATCAGAAGTTCTGACTTCCCAGTAGCCTCGTCCCTGCTTTGGTCGTTTGAGTACTCGGTTATACTTGAGTTTGTAATCGACAGGATGTCAATGCGTGATTTAATTCGGTGCTAAACTAATAATGCCAGTAAATGTAACTTATTATGTAGCTTAAAAAAACCATACAAAAGACGTCAGGAACATATTAAACTGCTGTGTGAATTACCCTGTTGAAGACAAATGGAAAGAATCATTGAACTGGAGAGGTGGAAGGGGTCTCCTTAGCCTTCTGGTCGAGCCCATACGCTGCATACCCGACAAATGGTTGTCCAGTCTTTGCTTGAAGATCCCCCAAGAGGCAGCTGGGTGGCCCAGCGGATAGAGTGCTGAAGGGAGGAGAATCTGAGTTCAAATCCTGCCTTAGACCCTTCCTAGCTGTGGAGTCACAGGTCCTTTCTCGGGCTTAGTTTCCTGTCTGTCAGATGAGGATCCTGAGAGCACCTCCCTCACAAGGCGGTCTTTGTCAGCCTCTTTATTGACATTGTCATCATTATTACGATTATGTATCATCACTGTTGATGTCATGATTTTTGTTAGTAGTAGTAATGAGAGAGAACCTGCTGTCTGTTGAGGTAACTCATTCCATTTTGGGGTAACTTCCTGACACCCGTCTGAAATTGTTCTCTTTATAGCTTCGTTCCACCCCATCCCTGTTCTGCCTTCTGGGGCCCAATAAAACATGTTTCGTCCCTCCTTCACAGGCCAGCCCTTGGAGTACTTGAGGACAGCCATGTCCTTCCTGAGCCTTCTCTTCTTCAGGCTAAAAATGTCCCATACCTTCAACTGTTATTTGTACGACACGGACCTCAAGCCCTTTGTTATCTGGGGGTGGGGTCTTCCGCTGGGCACACCACCTTCTTGTTAAGATTTTGACAACCCAACTCAAATGTTAGAGTCAAAATGTGAAAAAAATACTACCTTTATTTTTCAATTCATGGGTCATATGAAAAAATGGAGAGGAAGATGACTTTTAGAATGATTGTGTACCTTGGCTTTGTAATCCTTGCAGGGAAAGAAATCTAAAAAAGTTGCCAAGTGCCATTTTCTCCTTCTTACTCTCCTCCTTCCCTTTAGTTCTGTATCTGTGAATTAAACAAAATGAAACTCTTTTAAAAGCTACTAGATTATGGCATCATAGATTTGAAGTTGGAAAAGATGGTTGTGTTAGTGCAGAAAAGAGCTGCACAGTTAGATTGGCATAATATGCATTTAAAAAATTGGGCCAATCCCACATACTGGGAGACTGGAATATTATTGAAGAAAGGAATATTTGAAAGTGTTAATCCAAAACTGACCTCAAGCCTTGCAAAGGACAAAAATGTAATGGAAACTTGTTTTCAATGGTCACAATAAGAATTCATCAGATGAGGTTCTCAGTCTGTCTACAAGTATGCTCATATAGCACATAGTGTCAGAGTTCAGGGAGAGAAGGTCTGAAACCCAGACCCCAATTCTCTCCTTGCATGTCTGTCTCAAGTTCTTAATTCTAGCACAATTGTATGGATTTGGGGTTCAGTGTCAGATGAGGATCATGAGAGCACCTCCCTCGCAAGGTGGTCTTTGTCAACCTCTTCACTGACATTGTCATCATCGTTACTATTATGTATCATCACTATTGATATCATTATTGTTATTATTAATAATAATGAGGGAGAACCCGCTCTCTATTGAGGGTTATATTGCGTGTTAGAAATGTTATAAATAAAAGTCATTAACTTATTTGATTATACACTACATATTAGTATATGTGAAGTAATACAAATATAGTTAACTCTCTGGGGATGTACTACAGAACACTTGAGGAAGGTTCACACTACTATCTGACCTTCTTCCTTTCCTTTGCAGGGAGAGTTCTGTCACAGTCTGCTCCAGGGACTCCCCCAAAGACCATAACAATATCTGAAAGTGGTGTCATAGGGTCGACTCTTACTTCTACAGCACAGACACCAAACAAAATAGCCATCTCGCCTCTGAAATCTCCCAACAAGGTAAAAAGGTTATTTCGTGGTTTTTGTAGTTCTAGGTATTGTGATTAATGTCTAAATTTTTTTCTTATTAACTTATTTTGATTTATCATCAATCAATTCCGTATGCTTTTGAGTTTAAAATCTTTCTCCCCCTTCCTCCCCACCACCCTCCCCAAGACGGCACACAATCTGATATAGGCTGTACGTATACATTCCTATTAAACATATTTTCACATTAGTGATGTTGTAAGTAAGAATTAGAACCAATAGGAGGAACCACCAGAAAGAGGAAACAAAACTCAACAGAAGAAAAAAAATAGCAAATAGTATGCTTCAATCTGCATTCAAATTCCACAATTCTTTCTTTGGATGTGGATAGCATTTTCCATCATGAGGCCTTTGGAGATATCTTAGATGCTTGTATCACCGGGAAGGGTTAAGTCTATCAATATTAGTCATCGTACAACATGGCTGTTACTGTGTACAACGTTCTCCTGGTTCTGCTCACTTCACTCAGCATCAGACCATACAAGTCTATCCAGGTTTTTCTGAAATCAGCCTGTTCGTATTCCATTACATTCATGTACCACAACTTGTTCAGCTAATGTCTTAATTTTTATTGTAGTATGTCATCTTCTACTTTTTTTTTTTAAATTTTTAGGCAGTTGGGGTTAAGTGACTTGCCCAGGGTCACACAGCTAGTAAGTGTCAAGTGTTTGATCTGAGGCCGGATTGAACTCAGGTCTTTCTGACTTCAGGGCCGGTGCTCTATCCACTGTGCCACCTAGCTGCCCTCATCTTCTACTTTTCTGTACCTCCTAGCGTCTAGCACAGTGTCATAATAGGCCTCAGTGTGATCATGTACTTCGGTCCCTTAGCTTCCTGAGCCTCACTTTCCTCATCTGTAAAATGGGGATGATAATGCTCACATATTATAGAGCTATTAAGACAAGAGCTTTGTAAACTCTAAAATTCTATTAAACGTGTTGTAGTAATGGCCATTAATAGTAATAAATAATATTTGCTGGCCCAGGGCTCCAAAAGGAAGCCACATCTTCCCGATAATAGCCCAAGTGATACTTGCAGCTGTCACGTGTTTGGAGAAGGTGTCAGTCAGGGCTGTGTGTCGTCTGCTTGTGGTGCTTGTGGCTGGACCCTTTCAGGGCTCGCTGTCGTCCTTCATTTCCTCTGCAGCTGTGGTAACGAGAAGTGTCCGTTCCTCTCCCTTAGGACCATATCACTCTTCCCCCACTCCGTGGTCAGCGTGATGATGCATTACTTCATTTCCTAGCAGTAGGGGTGGGTCATAGGTACACGTCATTATAAGGGTCCAGTATTGAGCAAGGCCTTTGGGAGGGATCGAGCCGCCCTGTTGGTGAGTCCTGTCTGCTGATGCACTTGATCAATACGAGGCCGGACCCTTCATGGTGGGCGGCTGTGACCCACCCAAATGGTTCCATTGCATGAGGCTTTGTCCCCCACATGTGGACTTCATCTAACCCTCCCATGTTGCACTTGAGCCGGTGGAGAAGGTCACCTTTTTGTAGTTACTCATTTGGTCAAGCATTAGGTCGGTACTTTCTCACCGGTTGTGCAGCATGAGGTCGGGCCCTTTGTGCAGTGAGTGCTCTTTTCCTCGGCTCTTGGTGGGCTTAATGGCAGCAGCAATTGTAATGTTTTGTGTCTGTATGGGGTCAGCAGAGCCATCTGTTAATCCGGCCTCTCCTGCTTGCTCCACAGCAGGTCAGTATGTGCTGGCACCCATTTGGCCAGTGGGGGTCACGATGGACTCCCTGATGTTGACACTTCCCTTGGTGAGACAAAAACCACCAACTCATGTAAAGAGTTAGTTCTGACAGGCCCAACTTTGCCTGCTATTGAATGTTCCATTTCCGTTTAAGGATCAAGAACTCTGATGCTTGCCCCATCTACAGAACCCTGCATTACCTAACTCGTCATGAGTAGCTCAGCCTGTGGGACCCTGAATCATCCTTGCATTTATTTTCTACCCTCATGTCCACGTGTGAGGGACTGTCAGATCCAAAGAATGGGCCACATCCTCGTGATCATTCTGGTGACAAAGGTGTCATCATTGTGTTGAAATATGCAGCCATTCATTGGATACTGCCGCCTAGCCATCATGTGGCAGTCCACTGGTGACTTTACTCCAAGGGAGCATTGTAAAATGTAATCAGAATCTTCCTAAACTGAATCTAATATGGGTATTGATTTTAAAAAGCTTTGGCCAAAATCAGAGATGTCATGTCACTTACTGCATGATGCCCTCTGCGCCCTGTGAGATGATTGGAGTCATTTCTTTGTCCCTAGTGTAGATGCCAAGAGCCACCTGTTTTGTGAATCAACCAGACTAGAGAGTTAAATAGTGAATTTGTTGTGGGGAGAACAGTTGGTTTCACCATGTTCTTAATTAAGGCAACTATTCCTGTCACCTTTTTCAGGAGATGAGACCACTTCAAACTGATTATTTCCTTTGGTGCAGACAGTTGTGATGGTTTCCATTTGTGCCTTCCCACCACCACCAGGTGGAGTTACCCAATATGGCATTCACAAGGATGGCCCCTTGGTGTCTAGGGGTAGCGATTCCAATAATTCATTCCTGTAGGTGGAAGCCACCACAGGAGCTAAGAACGCATTGCCTCACTCTCCCTAGCTCTCAGGCAAGGGAGCTTAAGCACCTTGAGTGGTGGCATGTCTGTCTCCCCCATTTGAATTTCCTTACCTCTGTGTTTAAGAGCTTCCCAGGGTAATGATGACTTGGGAATCAGTATACAGTAACCACAGGAAATGCTGAACTCTGCTATTAGCCATCCCATAGTTATTGGTGCATATGGCCTTTGGTTGCTAGGTAGAGATACGGTTATTAAACACACCGAAGGACTTTGACCCCATCTCTGTGCCAAGCCATATCAATCCAGAGTCTGTATTCGTTTGTGGCCGGGTAACAAGTCTTTGGCAGGGACAGGAATAGCACCAATAGCTACTTTATTTTCTTGTATTTTCATTTCTTGGTATTTTTGCATCAACTGGCAGGTTAACTGTCATTTTTTTTTTACCTCGGTATCCCATGCTTTAACAACCATATTCATAAAATCCCTTTTGACTATCTCATTCATCTCATTCTCATTAATCCCCTCTAGAATAAAATATAAACTCTTCTGTTCAGCTTTTAAAACACTGTACAATTTATATTTCAAGCCTCATTGACTTTACTCCCTCTTCTCTATGTACCTGTTTCTCCCGTTAGAATGTAAGTTCATTGTGAGTGGGGATCCTTCACTCTTTGTACCCGTCATCCCAGTACCTAGCACTGTGCATAGTAGGTGCTTAATAATTCTCATTGATTGATTTTTTTTGTTTCTATCCACCACTGTGGCACCTGTGCATCTACCCCCAGTTAGTTCCTCGTACGGCAGGTCTGTATAGAGGTACTAGGCATTATGTCCCTTTAATTTAAGAGTGAGACACAGGGAATCCAACTGGAAGAGGCGGCTTTGTCCTGGGTAAGGCACCCCAGTTAGGCATTTGTAGATCATCTGTGCCCAACACAGATTCATTTGGGCATAGCTTCCTGGCCTCTACATTCGCCGTTGAGTGTGTCAAGCCTAGACAAGAAACCCCTGATTCTTCTTGCTCTGGCTTTTGTACTTGGGTGACCAGGAAGCTGCAACAAGGGAGTGACCCTTAGGCCTCCAGTGTGTGGCTTCTTGTCTTCTGGGCCCTATGCTTACTACCCCTTGGGCTGCCTCTGAGACTAAAGATCTCTAGATTAGCTTCAGTGTTGGTGCACTTGTTCTAGAAAAAGAAAACATCACAGGCTTACTTGGAGCAGTACTTGTGGTCTAGCTGCTGTGTTTGAGCAGTTGCCATTTCTGCCAAGATCAGGATGGGGGGGACCTGGAACCTTTGTGAGGGTCCTCTCAGCAAGGGCCCCTCATTTACCCTGTACTCAAAGTCTAAGTGAGAAAGAGTCTCAGTTTATAGTTCTGTATAGTTCTGAAGCCAAGAGCAAGAACTCTTGTCAGCTTTTAAACTGATACAGCACCCCTTATCCCTGGCAAATCAGCTGGGGTGTACTTGGCTGTTTGTCTCTATCCCCAGTGCCCAGAGCCAAAGAGTCAAAATTCAGGAGGCACAGCTTTTAGTGGTCTCCTAAATCCCAACATTCCAAGCATGGTGCCCAGAGAACTCCCAAAGTAATAATTATCTTCAAGGTGCTCATCCTCTTCCTACATGTGGTCATGCAAATTGAACAAGTGACAATTTACAACATTTATCATCATCTGGGAACAGATATTTTTAATTTTTTTTAATTGTTTTATTTGTTTTATTGTTTTTGGACGTCTCATTGAGTCATTAGCTTCCCTTTGGCCAATACTAATTTTTAAAATTCCCTTAGTCAGGTCTTGTACCTCTTTTGGAATTTGTCCAATGCTTATTTTTAAGGACTATGTTCTTTTTCTTTTTCTTTTTTTTTTTCTGATCCATCGGAGTATATAAGCATCATTTATTTTATTCATTTATTTATTTTTATTAATAAATTTATTTATTTTTAGTTTTCAACATTTACTTCCACAGGATTTTGAGTTCCAAATTTTTACCCCATCTCGCCCCTCCCCCCGCCCCAAGATGGCATGCGTTCTGAATACCCCTTCCCCTAGTCTGCCTTCTCTTCTATTTCTCCTCCCCACTTCTCTTATCCCTTTCCCCTTCTGTTTTCCTGTCGGGCAGGATAGATTTCTGTACCCCATTTCCTGTTATTTCTTATTTTCCAGTTGCATATGAAAACATTTTTTTTAAACGTGTTTTTAAAACTTTGGGTTCCAAATTTTCTCCCTTCCTCCCTCCCCACCCACCCTCATTGATAAGGCAAGCAACTCAATATAGGTTATATATGTGCAGTTATGCAAGACACTTCTATAGTAGACATGCTGTGAAAAACTAACTTTATTTCCCCTAATCCTATTCCGCCCCCCCATTTATTCTATTCTTTCTTTTGCCCC